TGTTTATGCAACCGGTTGAATAAAAAATAAATAAATTTCAGATCATTGTTTAAATTTGAGAATTAGGGTTCAAATGAAGATTTAATTTATTAAAGGGAAGAAATTAAAACAACCTGGCCCATTTCAATACATTATTGCGCACCTTTTTAAATCATGACAGAGATTACAACAATTATTCTTTAGTTTTAAAAGACCCAAACAATCCTTATTACAGGATTAATCCTTCTGCCCTTTGGACTGCTTTTTAAGTTTCTTTTTCAGTTTTCAGTTGTTTGTCATTCTGTCATTCTTTTGTGTTATATTTAAGACGTGTTGCATTTTTTTAGTTACTTTCTATTGCCCCCTTGTGCCAGTCTCCTTTCCCATAGCTCCCTTCTTGGTAGTTCTATCCATAGCTGCTCCATATCAGCTGATTAGCCCAGTCTTTGTTCTGTCTCCCATATATACTGTATATACCTCCTGTGCAGTTCCTGGTTGCTAGTTTGTCTTCCTAATTTGACTCCTTATGTGTTTTCGCTTTTTGGTTTTCTGCATTTTTTTCTTTGATTTTACTTCTGTTTGCCATTAAATCAGCAAAAACTGCATGAGGAGGCAGAGGTGAGTTTTTGGGTCCTCAACCAACCTCTAAGTTGACACCAGGTGTAAAATTGACAACAAAAAAACGAACACAGAACCTGTCTGACAACATAAAGTAGGCTAAACTGTCTGAAAAACTAAAGCCCCTATCACGCCTTGATGATTTAGCCAGCGTATGCCTGACATACGAAAAATCGGCCAAAACGCTGGCATAGGTTTGATAAGGTATTGATCAGTTTTGTAGAAGTTACGAGCAAGCTGAAGCACGCTGGCACAAGTCGACATATTACATTGAGAAATTTTGCGCATTTTCTAAATTTCTTGAAGTATGCCAGTGTTTGCCCATACTCATACTTGGGCCATTAGTTACATAGTTACAGGTAAGTTATTTGATAGTTGACATACGCTAAGTGTAAGTTACTCATAAGTCGTGGTGTCTAGTTTATCCAAAACCTACGAGTAACGTGTGCATAACTTATGCGTAACTTATAAAGACCTTATCTCCAATGCATATCAACATATTTGAGGTGTTCCAAATGAGTATTGAACATATTTCTAACTTACAGCTAGTGTATAATGGCATATTGTCAGCATTTTTTTTATTAAAATGGGTTCACAGGTGGAAACCATCAGTACTCCTCCAGACGTAGACTTAGACACTTAGACTTTTATTGCCATTTTGTATACACAGAGTGTATACCAAACAAAATTTTGACCGTTTCTCAATTCACAAGAACACTAGTACGGACTCGTTTCCTCACCAAGTATGTTTTTAAGAATAACACAGGAAAGTATGAACTCTGGGAGAATGGGAGCACGCAGCATAAAAATGGTTCAATTGGAACAGAAGCATACTTGTGACGTCACCACACTCTCTGCTCGTCGGGAGTTGCATTTCACCTTCTGTTATTAATAGTCTCTAGATAATAATAAGTTCTTACCTTTTTCGTTTGGGTGGAGAAATAATAATTAACACAGTCAAATAAACACAAATCAAATGAACATTTGGCCAAATAAAACAGAATAATCGCCATCGGTCTGTTTTTCAGTGTAGTCATGTTTCACTTATCGTGACTGGCTGGATGTGCTCTTTTCATCCTCTGACATGGGAGCTGGCTCGGAGCTCATCTGCCTAGCTGTGTGTTTCCTGGACGGGGCCGCCTTTTACAGCTGCCTTTTGTATCTCTGCTTCTGTCTCCTTGAACCCCAGTCGGCCTCGGCAGATGGCTGCTCACACTCAGCCTGGTTCTGCTGGAGGTTTCTTCCTGTTAAAAGGGAGTTTTTCCTCTCAACTGTCGCTACAAGCATGCTTAGTGTGAGGGATTGCTTTCGAGTCAACGAGTCAATGCAATTAACTGGTTTTCCTTAGATAGAAAACTTTGAATCAATTTGACTGTATGATCTGGTTGAATTGTAAATTACCTTGATATGACATGTTTTGAATTGATGCTATATAAATAAACTGAATTAAATTGACCCAACGAAAGACAAAACTAGAGCTGAAGAACTGAAACATAATTACAGCTTGATGTAGGAAGAATATGACTTGGCCATAAATGAGGAACTAGTTAACATCAGGAAGCAATAACAGGATCAAGCAAAGATATGGAAAACTATAGGTAAGAGTGGAAAAAATGCATGGTAAATATCATAATCAGGAGGAGATAAGGAAGCTGGAAGGGGGAGAAAGGAGTGAATGAAGAAGAACAGAGAAAAACACAAGGGGATTTTAAACCAGGAGGCCAACAGAAAAATATAGAATAATACATACATCTAACAATATTGGACAAAGGGAAATGAGCTGAAGAATATAACATTTGATACACCTTTTCCTCTGACCCCAGCTTTATGATTTACTCCACTGACTCACTGCCATCTGGAGTTATATAATAACAGCAATGAAATGGTAAAAAAAAAAAACCTCAAATGAAAAACCACGACTGAAATACCTGGAGTGTGTGACATTCAGACAGGAATATTTCAGAGGTTAGGCATTGGGGTGTTTTGGAGCTACTGTGCTTCTTCAGGACTAGAATGACTTGAGGATTGACTTGTAATACCTGTAAAGTGCTTAAAGAAAGTTTTTAGCCCAGGTCAAAGAGACAGAGCTTTCAGAAATATTTCTATCCTTCCAGGGAAAAAACGGTCAGAAATAAATTCTATCGTTATCAGATGTGCCACCAAGCAACAACCCTTTGTGAGAATGCACCCAAGACCAGTTCAGTACTAAGAACATCAGACACACCAACCACCCACAGACCCAATTTCTGACAGCTTCCTGCTGCTCTGCAGCATATGAGTTCCTCAATCTTTCATCCCCCCTGCACAGACACATCATCAGATTAATGCTGTGTTTACATCCGCATTTTTGCAATTAGGTTTCATCTAAAACTGATGGTTACATGTTGATTTCTACAATAAATAGCAAAATCTCTCGACATGTAAGGATAAAACTATCAAATCAAATACCCAAAACATTGATACAACAAATACAATATTTATTAAAACAACAATTCTGTATGTTTATTTCAATCCTAACACGATTTTTACTTAGGAGTATCTGTATTACTTTTACTACACGGTAAAATGATCTTTTGTGCCTTTTTGCAGCCTTGGCTTCCACGCAGAGCAGATACCTAAACCTACATTTCAGTTGTTTTTCTGATTATTTATCATGTTACCCATCAGTTCAGGTGGACAGTCATGTCTTGATAATATACTTTCTTCCATTTTCAGACGATGGCTTGAACTATGCTATGTGAGATGTTTAGACCTGAAGTTGTTGCTTCATAAGTTGAAACTGCTGCAAACCTCCCATGTCTCCTTGACCCGTGGACAATGCGCCTTGTTCTCCACGGTGCTTTTTGTTTTTTAATGTTCTATCTGAGGCTTTTTTTGTTTTTTTTTGTTTTTTTTAGCAGACCTGACATTAAATGACAAACATTTGGAACTTTTTAGAATTTGCACTAGAGTTTATAAGAGAAATGTAAAAAAAATATCGATTTTATTCTGAAATTGTGAAAAATATATTTTTTTCATGCTTTTTTAAAATAATGTATTACTTCAATTGAATCTATTTGAAATCCAAATAAAATAGTTTGTTTTTGAAAAAATTTGGGAAGGGGATATGTATACATTTGTTGAATAAATTAGTTTTGATTTTCTTAGTTATTAAAGATGGTAATATTCTGTAATATTGTCTGTTTTAAAGAAAATAAAGAGAAATTGCAGAATATACTCGGTTGTAATAAAAACCTCCACACTACATAATTTCTCTCCGTTTCCTCTGGTTGCTTCAGCATCCTTTGCTCCCATATTAATATTAAAAACTGCCAGTATGGGTGGTTCTAGAGAGGGGCCAATGGTGCCGTAGACCATGTCCTGGCCCCTGTACTGAAGACATAATACTCAAATTCTAATGATGATATGCGTTGGAACAAAAATGGTTACTGATAGGTCCTTTGGATCTATTTCATTTTTTTCTTTACAAATTCTGTTTTACTAATTATTTAAAAATCAATAAGGTGATAGCTTTAGTGGTATTGTGATAGGATCCCTGTTTTCATCTGGTAAATGTTTTTTTGTTTTTTTTTTAACAAAAAAATGCTCTTTTTAAAGCTGAATTTATCCGTTTTTCTTGAGTTCTAATTCAGATTTTATCGAAAACTTTAACTTAAGTCAAAAATATGTAAAATTCCTAAATTATGATTGTATATTGACCTAATAAGACATAGAATTTTAATTCAACCTAATTGAATATAAATTTGACTTCATGCAGCTCTCTTAATATATTTGAATCCCTTGCCCTGTTTTTTTATTTCATGCTTTTTTGGGCCCCCATGGACACACGCGGGCCCCCTCCTGGCCCCCTAGTACATTTTTGTCTAGAACCGCCACTGACTGCCAGACTCTGACTCTGGCACATTCAGCAGCGCCGCATCGTGACTATAAAGTGTATTCTTTGTGCTACAGCACCAAAGCAGCTTTGCTCACCATCCTGTCTCCTCTGACTTTGGCATTTATATATATATATAAAATAAAGTTCATCTCACTTCAGTCATGGGAGACCTTTAGGTTTCTTAACAGGGACAAATAAGAAAAATGAAAGTCTGACCTGAGGAGACAAACTAGATAAAGAAAATCGGATTAAAATGAAACAAAAGCATTAAAGTACATAACATCCATTAATGAAAACTATTTTTTTTTTAAACTAAACCCATAATAGCCTTTAGTGCAAGGTTTATCTTTGTTTTTCAAAAAGCCAAAGTGGGAATCAGTTCTTGTAGAAGCGTTCATTCACATAACCCATTGCGCACGAGTTGGTGACATCAGTAGGATCGAGGGATTCAGAAAAATGACTCCGGGGATTGTGTGACGGCAGTGATCGGGGAGTATAAAAGCGAGGGAAGACGCTGTCAGCTCATAAACCTCCAGGATCTGTCCTTAAGGACCACCAAGAGCTCAGAGAAGGGGGAGAGAAACCATCATCATCACTGCCAGCGGTGCCTCTGGGTGGGAACGAAGAGAACTTCAATACTTTTCAGGTGAACCTGCAGCTTTGCCTTCAAACACTTAAAACACAATCTAGATTTGAGTGTATGTTTTATTTTACCTGGCTGCATAGAGTTTTTCTGCATCTAAGACTTTCAAATATTTTTATGTGTGTATTACAGTCTTACACTGCAAAAAAGTTAAGAAAATCTTCAATTAAGTGCATTTACCCTTAATTTTACCCTTAAAAAAGATGATTTGCCAATAGAATGAGTATTTTTTACGCTTACAAGAAGATAATTAGATAATATGTCCTTGAAATAAGACAATGCAATTGTTTTTTTTTATCTTAAATGTAAAGTGTCTTACTTTCCTCCACAATTCAAGAAAGAAATCACTTATATTAGGAAAAAAAATACTTATTTAGATTTCATTTTTTTGCAGTGCATACGACTAACTTATTACAACTCCTCTTCTAATTGAAACATGACTGTTAATAACATCTTAACTAGATTTTTTTTCTTTCTATCTTAGTCTAGGGAAAAATAAAAGCAATGAAACCGGCAAGCCTCTTCGTCTTGGCATCTTTTCTGATCTGCAACTTGGCGGTGTCAGAAGAACAGGGTCTCCCTGCTGAGGATGAGATGGACCGAAGTACCACTATTGACAACATTATACTACAGAGGGCACAGGACATCCTGTTACGCTCTATTCTCAAAAAGCTGCAAAATGAAAACGACAGAAATGGTGCGTAAGACTCATGATTTGCGTATGTTTTGTGTTTTTTTAAGAAAGAAAGTCGACAATGAAGCAGATCAAAGTGACTCAGGTCTCAAAAGGGAATTATGTTTTAAGTAGATTTTGGGAAAATATTTCATGTGAACATAATCCTGAATGTATCCATAAATAAGTATATGTAATAATGTTGGAGATTTTATTTGTATCCCCAAAAGGTGTTTGATTGCGCAAGAAGAAGCTATTTTGTGCGCATTTTACGCACGACGCAAAGTGTGGTGTTACTGTAAAGTCATTCCTGTCGCACTCTAGCCTACAAATCCAGTAGGTAAAAATAATACTAAAGAAGTCATCCATCCCCTTTTTTCCAGATGGGATTTTCTCTCAGCCAGAATGGATGACAAAAAGACAGCATCCCGGTAAACGGTACTTGGAGGATCTGGAGAAGCGGCAGCATCCGGGCAGAAGAGAAGGGGGCGACGACGCGCAGCTCTGGGATGTGCAGAAAAGACAGCACCCCGGCAAGCGCGAAGACGAGGTGCATTCGTTCCTGGATTTCCAGAAGAGGCAGCATCCAGGGAAGCGCTCCACCGTGGAGTACATCCCCGACAACCCCACCGCACTGCTCGGCGAACTTTCAAAGCGACAGCACCCGGGCAAGCGCTACCTGGTGCTGCACAGCAAGCGCCAACACCCAGGTAAGCGCTTTCTGGAAGAAGAGGACGGAGAGGCGGGCTTGTTTGAGGATGGAGAGGAAGATGCGAGCGAGCTGGAGAAGCGTCAGCATCCAGGGAAACGCTTTTGGGATAACTCCAGCCCGGAATTAAGCACCAGCAACCCATGTGAAGTTTTGGACTCTGACAGCTGCAGTAAGACCAGCCTGCTGCTCGACTTTCTGGAAAACATCAAAAGTCAGGAGAAGAGACAACACCCGGGGAAAAGGTTTGCACCAGAGGAGGATCTGGAGGAAAGAGAGTAGCAAAGAATATACACAGCTCCTCTGCTTTATATGTATTATAAATAAGTTATCAGAATGAAATATTAAAAAAATATTTTAATTATTTAACCCTTTGAGCCACTTTTCTTTGGCACACAGTTTGTAACATTTACGCAAAGCATTAATCTGAAATTCTTTGGAGGGCTTGTGCAATCTCAAAATCTTCGAACTTTGCTGTAAATACAGATTCAACAGAAGGGATATGCTGATGTAGATATAGTTATTTTTCAGTTATGTTAGTATTTAATTATGTTTACTGGAATATTTATGACACAACATAGGATTATAAGTACTGGCTTAAGCAATGTTGCCTCTGTGAGGGAGCAAAGCTCTGTCAGTGTAGCACATACCCTGAGTCCAAAAATAATGAAAACTGCCTCGCTTGCATTAAATAAATTTATTGAATGATTGAATTGTGTTTTATTTTGTACTAATGTGAGATATAAACTATTCTACTGCAAATTAAGTGTGACATTTTTTATTGTTTTAAATTGCCCAGAGGGTTGAGCTTAGGATGCATCTGGTAAGCAATGGGGGGGAGTGAGCTGTGTGCAGCAGATTACAATGATGTTGCAGCTATATCAGCTGTCCCAATTCCATAGCGGTCAGCCAGATCTGTTGAAGCATCATTAATGCAAAACAATAATGGAAATATGTCAAGTGCCCCCACTTTAATTGGAATCCTTCCATCATTAGTGGTCCTTATTTAAAGTATCATTTAGGATCAGATGATTCAGACAAAACGTTTCACTTTTGGCACACACATTTAAAAAAATAGATGTTTAAATTTCGCCAGTTAAAGTGGTGTAACTATTTGATTAAATGTTTTTTTTCTATTTTGGCTGATTTAAATTCAAATCTATGAATAGGAGATGTGTAAATTCCAACGCTGAAAATGTTCCTATTAAGTTTGATAAAAGACCTTTTTAGTTAATATACAACCTTTTTCAATCCAGTTTATTCTTCATTTAAAAGGATTCAAAAATAATAACGGTTAAAAAAATAAAAGTTTACTGAAGTTGTAATAAAAATTTAAAATCTATTCTAAAATGATGCCAAGATTTTCTGTTTCTTGGATAATTACTGCCTCTGGGTTTGAAATCCCAGCAAGGTAGCAAACTAAACTTTAGAATTAGTGCTGCCACTAAACTAGTTTCCTTTGGATGTACATTTTTGTGAACTATTTTCACAGTGACATAAAAAACATCCTTTACTTAGTATGTAAATATTAACATATTGTCAAAAAGTTGTAGGACTGCCCTCTGTACAGTGTGTTGTTGAGCTCCCCCAGCAGTTGGCAAACAAAGTCTGGAAACCATCCTGATAATCCTGGGTTTTAAAACACTGTTGAGAAAAGGATAAGCAGTGGGACATTAAAGTCATTGTAAAATATTTCAAAGCTACTAATGGAGATGACTGAAAAAAACAGTCTGACAGAGCATAGATCAGAATGTAGATCATGACCTAAAGATCACACGTGTGTAATACCTCTGACTCAAAACAAGACCATCTATCTATCAACCCATCCATCCATCCATCCATCCATCCATCCATCCATCCATCCATCCATCCATCCATCCATG